TGAAAATTTGACTAATTTATATATCTTTTCCTTTTGCTGCCATATACAGATCAGTGATACTCATTCACCCTGCAGTGCTTTGTCTATAATTTTCTGAGCCCAAACAAAAGGCAATAAGAACCATGCTTCAAACCAACCAAGTGGAAAGGGGAAACTTCCATCATTATGTGGGTATTTTCATAGTCACTGGAAGAAGGTGTATCCACTAGTGCACCATAATTCCAATGGTGCACTAAGCTTCAGGGAGTTTATGATGACAATTTTATTATCCATCAAACCACAGAATTCTTATATTTTAAATACTCAATGCTTAGAGGTTATTAAAGCTTATTTATAAAAAATAGAATCAAATTATCTATGTTTAAATTAATTGGCCAAAATTAACTTTTACAGCCTCTCAGGATTTTCATCATAAAATGAACAGGAATGATCAGAAAATACTGTTTTCTTTACATGTTCATCTGGGTTTACAAAACTTCTCTTTAGCAATTTCTTCCCAGGTACATGAAGCAAATCAATCACATAGTATTAATATAGTTTGTGTTCAGTTTAAAAGTAAGCTTTGTACATTTGTCATTTTCAGTATTTGTAATGTTTGCAGGAATTTAGCATTTACTACAATAGCTTTATGATTCCCACTTAAAAACATGTCATTAAATCATTGATTTAGCTATGATTTTTAAGTTGAGAGGAAGAAGTAAAGTTTGCTAAGTTTACTAAAGTTATTATAATTGTTAAGATTTTTAAATTTACCATATTTGTAAGTCATAAAATTTGGAAGAGTTAGGTACTGGGGAATGTTTTATGTATGTTTTAAATTTTAAATTAAATTTTCAAAAAGTGACCTTGAAATTTTAATTTGATAAATGTAAATAAAATATTGAAGGAATTCAATTACCTAAGTCTCTAACTGCTTCTTAAAAGATGTTGTTAAAATTTACTAAGTGTAGAATAACTTATATTCTAAGTTAAATAAAGTTCAGTAGAAATTATAAGTTAAATAAATTTTAAAAGAAGAGCTAATTTCTTCAATATTGTTTTCTAAGTGAAATATTAATTCTAAAAGCCAAAATTATCTTAAATAGTCTTTTTTATACACAAAAGGACACCAGAAATCTCAAGATGACAACTGATCTTCAAAAGAAAATAAGTTTGCCAAGTGGAGGAGGGTGAATCTCCCCCAGGGAGGGCCAACGCAGGGGGAATGACTTATTAGGGGGCCAGGGTTTCCTTTAGAGGAGGATAGACTTCAGAAGAGTGACTAAGTGTAGAAACTGTTTCTACACAGAGAGTTAATTTTTGTAGAAGCACAAAGAAAGGCCAAGTCAGGCTGATACAGACCTGATGTCTTTGAGGAGAATTTCAAAATTTTATCTCAGAACAATAAAAGCTACATTCGTTCTCAGTCCAGCGGGAAACAGATGGTGCAATCAGCCTGTATGATTGAGGAGAGTTTAATTAAAAAAACAGAAACAAACAAAAAAAAATAACAAAGAAAGAAACTATACAAAGACATGTTGATTCCTCCAGTTCCATTCTTCTTTCTCAGGATTACTTTGGCTATTCGAGGTTTTTTGTATTTCCATACAAATTGTGAAATTATTTGTTCTAGTTCTGTGAAAAATAC